ATACATGTAAAAGTTTTTCAGGGAACTACTCCATTTTGGGAAATTGTGAGGTGGAAGTGGTGGTTATATGAGAAGAAAGAACAGGACAAGATAAATAATGCAGGATTCTTTCCTATAACTAACACCATAGTTTGGGAAAACCAGAAATTCTGTACCTTGGTAGGTGTGCAAATATGTACTTGGTAAAGAATCCCTTAGGTATGCAAGATAGCGGGTAGTCATACTTGTCTTTTATAATGATAACTCAAACAATTCTGTGCAATGATTCATGGAAACAATTGGATTCTCATGTTCTCCTGGAGCTGTTTATAATTCCAGGAAATACAAGTGAGAAATTTAAAGGACATAGCTATAAGAAAGGGAGGAGGTGGTGGAAGTACAGAGGGAGAAATACAAGATAGCAGCACTGTAGTTATTTGTGAAACCAGACTGTTTGGTGTGTATAAAAAAATGTGGAAATTTGGGTTGGTGGTAAAAACCTTTCTTCAGCTTTCACAGACAATTGCAATTTATAAAAATTCATGTCCTCGTGTGAGAGACTTTTCTATTTCTTTTCCTCAGAAGTTAGGATATATGTAATGTTATATAGTAGTCATATTTTAAGAGGGTATCTAAATTACTTTGCATTCCCTGAAATCAACTCTAGACGAGTAGTGTGTTAAATACATATTGTTCAATCTCCTCATTTCGTTTTCTCTCAAGGCTGCTCTCAACACTGACTTTTGTAGTGAAACAGCTCCAGTTGTATCTGATATAGCTGGTGTGGTTTCTCTGGTCAGAGATGGAAGGTAGAAATTGGATCTCATATTTCTCTGGGCCTTGAAATAAATGGACAGTGACATTCTTATTTTATTTCATAATTGTCTATGTAAGAATATAATTAAATGTTGATCGTCTAGGCTAACCAGAAATAGCATGCTAGGAAAAGCATGGATGGTTAACAACGAACAAATATTTGTTAGAAAATTACTGTGTAAAAACTACAGTGAACCTCCCAGCCTTGTGTGTCAGTAGCTTTAACTACTTCCTCAACCAATTTTGTTGTCAAATTGCCTAGGATGAGAGTTAAATGGGTTGGTTAGAGAATTACCTGCTCTATGTTTCTCTCTCCTTTTTAAAGTTATTAACTAGTAATTAAATATCTCAAACTCTAGAAGTAGACAGAAAAGAAAAAGATAGCAAATCCTTTTACTAAGCTCTGATTAAATGAGTATTTCGAATGTCTAACCAGAATATTCAAAATAAAATTCTACAGGAATGGTATAAATTAGTAAAGAATAATTCAGATAATAATTGAAAATAATTAATAATTTATTTAATTTAGATTTCAGACACTTTTAATTCTAATAGCATCTGCCCTGGCATTAGACCAACCTGAGATGAAATTTTGCCTTCTGTATTTACTAGGTATGACCTTAAGATTTCATTTTTTATTGTTTTAATAAACAGTTTTGTGCCTTGGCTTTCTTATCAGTAAACAGGGATAATGACATTATTTAACTTCTAGAGTTGCTCTGAGAGCTAAATGAAATAATACATGTAGCAGTGCTCAGCACAGTGCCTGCCTGGTACTTTCTAAGCATCTAGTAAAAATTATCTATGTATCTTTTCAACCATCTCTTCAACATCCATCCATCCATCATCTGTCCATTGGTTCATCCATTTATCCATCTTTTTTTATGTTTCTGATAACATAAATTGATTATTTTGGGAAGCTTTTTATTTGCCAGGGAATATGCAGAACTTTTAAAATATGAGATGAATTTATTGTCCAGGATGTGTGCAAAGAGAAGACACCCCCAGAAAACCAGTTTATTTTAAGTCCTTTTTCATGGCTACTTTTTTCTGGTTGAAGATAATACCCTAAGTTTATTTCTGCCTATTAATTTAATAATATTTAAATAATTGGGAAATATTTACTGAGTTTTTTTTTGCACAAAACGTTGTGCTAGGTATTGTGGGAATGTAGAGAAAGCTAGGATTTTGTTCTCACCCTTGAGAAGTTTGTAATGTGGTTGAGGTTACTTAGAAAATATAATGATATTATACATTTTAAAAAGATTATGTGAGGTAATATCCATTAAGTGTTGAATGAGTGATATAAAAATATCTAATAAGATCTAATCTTTGAGATCTTATTAGAGGTGTTCAGAAGAGGGGTAGATCATAGTTACCTTGAATAATCTCAGTTGGTTTCCTAACAATAGGAAAGGAAAGTGAGGGAAATAGGGAAAGACAGGAAGAGCAAAGGCTATGAGGCAACAATAAGTGAAGTTTGACTAGTGAAGATAAATTTATAAAGATTGGTTGCATCTGGATGGAAGGCCTCGAGTGCCAGAGTCAGGAGTTTGGACTTTATTTTGTCATTAGTGGGAGAGTCACTGATGTTTTTTGATCAGGAGAGTGGCCTGATGAAGGGAGTAGCAGTAAGATCAGTTTGGTGGAGGAGATGCTAAAATATAGAAAGTAGTTTAGGGTCTGTTTTAAGAGTTTAGATATGAGGTGTGAAAAAGCCCTGTGCTAAGATTATAAGTATGGTAAGAGAAATGAGCATAAGAAACATTAAGAAATAGCTGATGGAGCTTCATGACGAGCTGGCATTGAGAAGCAAGGATAAAAATTAGGAGGTCGATACAGTGTTCATGTTTTGAACCTTGATGATTCTGACAGTGGTACTCTTCTGGGTGTGGATGAATGAGGGGAGGTGTTGAGGAAAATAGTGATGAATCTAGTTTTAAGATGTTTAATGTGAAATTGCAGATCATATCTTGGTATAAATACTTCACAGTCATTTGAGGACTGTTGGATTTCTGGGAGATGAG